TTTTTCTTTAAATTATCACTCGAAAATTGCTGTAAAAATTCACATGAGCTCAACAAGCATGTGAGCTCAACTTTATTCCAAAGCTCCTACAGATAGATAGATAGATAGATAGATAGATAGATAGATAGATAGATAGATAGATAGATAGATAATAAAGGACTTCGGACAGCTGCAATTCTTCTTCATTGCTGCCACCTTCTGGTCACATAGAGTCACTACATTCTGCTGAAAATGTTTAAGATGCTCCGTTTAACATCCATTACGGAGTTCATTAGACTGCTAACATATTCAGCTGAGCTCCTCAACCCTACTGCTGTGCAACACAAAGGTCTTTCCAGGGTTTTCTCACCTCTTGATTTGATCACATCAAGTGTGGCAGGTTATATATTTATACTAAGAGAATTAATAAGATACAGCATTTATTTTCACTGCTGATAAAATGGCACAGGGGGGAAGCAAACTAAAGCAACCTCTCTGAACGCATGTGTTTATTTCATTACTGTTAATAGAGACACACACATCTCGGTTCACGTCCCAAATAAGCCCTCCCCCCCAAAAAAAATAAAAAATAGCACGAATCTGGCAGCACCCAGAAGAAGCTGGATTACTGTCACTATGATGCACATAATTTAATGTCCAATAGGCCATGGAGCAGCGTACCTGTGATGTGATGTAACCTCCGGGTGAGATTAAAGGTCAGGCAGCTCATGGGGCTGAGATCCCGAGGATCGTCGGCATGGTGGAGTTTGAAAAGTACTTACAACTGATGCATGTTTCCGTCTTAATATCGCCTTTTCAAATCATTTCAGAGCTCAAATGCAGAAGTTCATTTGTTTTGGCCCATTTTTATATAGCTGCAGGTTAATTTGGAAAACTGCATGACTGATCTGTGAGTAAATACCCCCCCTTGTGGTAAAAGTACTTTACTCTTCTCTTCCAGGAAGCACTGCAAACACAATGTACTCTGGATGAGACGACAGTCCATCTCAGGAGACACATTCACCAACAGTCACACACTATAGGCAATTTAATGACACCACTTCACCTAAGCACACGTCCTTGGACTGTCAGAAGCAGAAATGCCTGGGAACACGGGGAGAACATGTAACCTCCACTCACAGTCCAGAGAACATGTAACCTCCACTCACAGCCCA